TACCTGCACCGATTCGAGCTGACTGAGGTCTGGTTGTCCGACGCGGAAGATAGCGTGCCACGCTGCCACGCAGATCATAACATACCTTTCACGCCATCTTGCTCAACCCTTTGTCTTCCCAGCTTGCTTCCGCTGTGCGCCCGAAACCTGTCAGAGGCAAGCAAATAAACTAAGCAGGCGTGGCCACTTTCCCTCGCAGTTGGCTCCAGCCACTTGGGATCGAGACCTCCCCTCCCTATAGCTGCCGAAAGACCAGATCAACCTAAACCCTAACAGCCTAAACACCAGAAGAAACCAGATTTCAGTCCGCATTGGCACACCTTCGTGTTCAAATTGCCAGCTCAAAGACCATATTCACAAAAAAGGCGCAGCGCCAATGATTTACTCAATGAATGGAAGCCTTTTCTGCTGCCGCGCCATGCAAGCCATCTATTTTCACAAACCTGCGCTGCGACGGCTAGCTTAGCTTCGTCACCCTAAGTCACCGAAATTAGTAAATTTACATTTTCATTGGATTTACGTAAATTGATGAATTTAGGTGGCAAAAAGTGTAAATGGGTTAGTAAATGTAAATTTGATTTAGGTACAACCTAAATTTATTTAGGTTGGTCTTCACTAAGGGTTTTCCTATTTTTTCATTACGTTTTGATTTGCAAATATTCAAAACTGCATCTAAAACACATCTTTTGAAGAAAGTAATTTGTAAAACATATAGCCACAAGTAGAGACACTTGGATAAAACCACAAGCACACACACTCAGGTATAAGCACGCAGGAAAGACAAGCACAAGAAAAATATCTTGGGTATAAGCACCATGAGCTTTCCATCCTTTGTCCTGTCCAGGACTTGGTTCACTATCTTGCGCTGTTCTTCTGTGCGTCCCTTCTTCATGCTCAAGGTCTTCTTCCAAGCCTGCACAACATAGTCTGGCAGAGAGCCCTCAGACAACAAGGCCTTGAAATTGTTGTCCTTCGACCTGTCCTTCTTGGCCTCATCGCACTCGAAGAAGTCTGCATTGTCCTGCTCCTCCTCCTCCTCCTCCACATTCTCTTGGTTCATCCTCTTCAACTTCTGGTGCTTCCTCCTCCTGATCCTCCTGCAACCCTGCTGCCCAGCCATGAGCTGCTGGCTTCTTCTTTGGCTGTACGGTTTCTCCACTGGCAGCAGGCCTTTTTAAAGAGCCTGCCTTTGGCTTTGGCTTTGGCTTGCTCTTTCCTTTTGCTTTGGGCTTCTTCCCTTTAGGGCTCTTTGCTTTTGGGCTCTTGGATTTTGGGGTCTTTGCTTTGGAAGCTGGCCTTTGCTTCACAGGTGTACTGGGCTCTTCAACTACACCATCGTCCTTCTCCTCAGGAGTGACTTGGCCCATGGGGATCTCTTCCTCTGCCATGCCAATGCCAACAAGCTACTGCGCCTATCTTTCAAACCTTTCAAAGCTCTTTGAGATCAATCTAGCTGCAAAAGTAAACAACAACCAATAAGCCAGCTGTGCAGTAAACTCTCAACAACTTCAATTTGAACAACATACAATGCTGATCAACTCTTTGTGCAAAAGCATTACCTTCTCAGGTAAAGGATAAACCAACTTCAATTTGAACAACATACAATGCTGATCAACTCTTTGTGCAAAAGCTTTACATTCTCAGGTAAAGGATAAACCAACTTCAAATTGAACAACATACAATGCTGATCAACTCTTTGTGCAAAAGCATTACATTCTCAGGTAAAGGATAAACCCACAAGAATGCTAGATATCTTTTTGCTGACAATATGATGCAGAATATCATAGCTTTTCATAAAATCTGTCAAAAAATTGTATGAATTTTTGATGCACTTTTGATGCACTTCTGATGTACTTTTCAAAAGTGTATACACTTTTGAAAAGTACATCAAAAGTACATCAGAAGTGCATCAAAAGTTCATCAAGAATTCATCAATATTTTCTCTTAAATTTCTAGTTTTTTGAACTAAATTTCATAAATACATATCAAATACACTTCAACTCACAACAAAACTAAACAAGACTAAGCACACAATTCCAAGTTGAATGGCGTCCTCATGTAAAGTATACTTACACAAAGTCTCAACCACTGAAGTAAAATACACTCAAGTAAAACCATCCTCAAGTAATGTCTGCCACGCTCAAGTAAAGTGTGCCATGCTCAAGTAAAGTCTGCCATGCTCAAGTAAAGTGTGCCATGCTCAAGTGAAATCACATCCTCAAGTAAAAGCTCAACAGGTAAAGTCACACCCTCATGTAAAAGCTTCTCAAGTAAAGTCAGATCTTCTTCATGTAACAGCTTCTCAACATCATGTCACAATGCGTGCCCTCAACTCTACCCCAAAGGCTGCTTGTGTCTTTTTCACTCCAAGGATTCCGGAGATGAACTGCTGTCATCTTGCAGCGTCCTCATCAAGTCCATCATGGCATTGATGCGGTCACGCCTCCTGACAATGGTTTCAAGCCAACATTGACATAACTCTTGTTCATTTGCTGCAGTTAATACAAACTTGAACAATTAATTTTCAACAAGCAAACTTGTTTAAAGTTCAGTCCAAGAATCTTGTCAGCTTTGCGCTTTCACTGCTTGTTTCCTTCTTGCTGAGGTGTCTCTTGTTCTTCTTCTTTTTCTTCTTCTCACAGAGCCAAAAGATCTCTCACATAAAACATGCACCCTCACACTGGCAAAAGCCATCAGAGAATCAGAGAATGCTCTTCTTCCTAAAGTGAAGAAAAGTACATATCCTCAAGTAAATTTACTCCCTCAAGTAGACACCCTCAAGTAAAAATGTTTTGTTCAAGTCAAGAAGGGTACACATGCTCAAGTAAATGCAATCCCTTCAAGTAAAGGCAAAGTCCACACCTCCTGGCATGCTCAGTCAACAAAAACAAAAATCCATAGCGCAAATATCCTCAAGTACATGTTGTCCTGTAGAAAACCTGCCTCTTTGGAGAAAGCCAACTCACATAAATAGAGACATTTTCTGCTTCAAAATCATGCTCGCAAAAATTTACTCATAACCTAAAAAATTTACTAATAACCTAAATTGGATTTACTCATAACCTAAATTGGATTTACTATTAAATTTACGTAAATTTTTACGTAAATTTTCCTTAGTAAAACCAAAAATTTACGTAAATTTTATGGTTAGTAAAATTACTAATTTGGGTGACTTAGGGCAATGCCAAAGCGTCAAACGGGGAAGAGGCTGCATAGCATGTTGGTGAAGCCACAACTTGCAATCTCTAAGTGGCAAGCCTAATGACCAGCAATGCCAAAAAAGAACAATGCCAGTGTCGGCGTGATTTTGCACAAGACATCGCCCAAACATTGAAAGAGCAAAGGGTAAAACCATGTGCAGATTTCGTGGCAGGCACAGCGCTTTGTGAAGCTCCATGTGCAGATTTCGTGGCAGGCGCAGGACTTTGTGAACCTCTATGTGCAGATTTCGGGGCAGGTGCAGCACTTTGTGAACCTCCATGCAGATTTCGTGGCAGGCACAGCACTTTGTGAACCTCCATGTGCAG